ATATATATGTCTTATTCTACAAACATGTATGAGTAATATTTTCTTCATTATTTTAAATAAGTGCTACATATAAAAAAAAAATGCGCGAATAACTACAACGGTATATCATAATGCCCCCATGGAAACGTGTCGATCGAGTCGGGTATGATATACCGCTTGTCATCGTATGGACTTAGAGCGATTTTTGTTTCAGACACTGTAAAGACTTGGTGTAACTTCGATCTTATATACGATTGTTGACGACTTTTTTCGACTTCATCTCTCAAACATTGTGTATAGTCGTTAAAGGTTATCGTTCGCGGTATTACGCTACTTTTGACGTCTTTGGCCTTTTTCGTATCCTTTTTCCCGTCTACTCTCCGCGCGTACATCTTCGCTCTAAGTCCGACAAATTCTGTCATTATAGCTCCGTTATTTTTATCTTTTATCAGACCCGGAACTTCTTATTTACAAGCTGTATATCGTACGCGTTGTCAGCGAGATAATCAGTCGTATCGAATTTATGAATATCGCATTTCATGTGCTCGTAAATGTCTTCGCAATCTATGTGGTAAATTAGACTGTCGGTGCCTGTGTACATAATTTTACATTTTTCGCGATATAAAGGAGACATGTACTCGTGGTGAAATTCGTACAAGCAAACCTTTGATATGTCGAGGATGCACATACCCACATAGATCGGCTTGTTGAATTTCACTTCGAGTTTCCGTAATTCGACGGCAATTAAGTTTTCGGTGAAAATGCTTCGGCTATGAAAATTTGGTTTCGCGATCATTGCCTCGGCACCGTACCGTCCATCCCATTTTGTCAACAGTTTCACATCTACATGATTGCGTACATTTTCCATCGTTTTTCCAAATACAGCATTGTTCATCAATTTATACAAATTTTTCTCGAAATTATTCGTCGCTTGTGTTCTAAACTGTGTATTTAGTTCGATGTAATCGCGGAGCCACGGAGATTGAGTGAATTGGAGTATACGGTGTATCTTTGTAATGCAGAGACCGTGACGCGTGCACTGCTGCAGTTTACAATAATGAATAACATAACGCTGCTTATCGTATAAGGTTGCCAATAACTTATCCTGTCTTGTACCGGGTGGTTTGATGCGCGTTGGACAAAACGGTAGGTCAGCGTGAGCGTCGTGCAAATGTCGCGGATATTCGAAATCCACCTCGAGAATATAACCTATGGGTGAATCGACAGTGATTGAAGATACATCAAATGTTGAAACATCTGTGACCCATTGAAATTCGGCGTGAGGCAGCGGTTGCCACATTGCCCAACCGTACAGATTGTTTACGTCAAAGTACATCAAGTACGACGATGGTTTCGATGGATCGTAAGACTGCATGTACTTGTTATTGGCCTGTGCGTATCTACTGGAACATTGACTGAGACCGCCGCGTATACCACTTTTGATGAACATGACCATATCGATATCAGTGAGCAATTCAAAATTTATGCCGATATGTTTTAACATGGCATCCCAAGTGAAACCCGGTAAAATATAATAATGTGCGGGATCTAATCCGTATCTTTTGATGCAACTATCCCGGAAATTTTCAAAAATATCGGCTAATAATAAGACATCAGTCTTCAGATATAAATCGCTGTATTCACCTAAGGTTTCAATGGAGAATCCTTTCCAGACGTTCGCAGCGTGCGCGTAATCGCTCTCGGATACCGTATTATCCGTCAACGAACTATAAAACAATTCTCGCGTTAGTAAACCTGGATCCTGCAGCTTGTCCGCGCAATCAAAGTATTCATATGGAAAAACACCCTTTCGCGTCAATAAATCGAAATCGGATGTATTTGAAAATGTAGATTGTAAAATTTTTAATTTTCCTTTGCCGAGAAAAGATGCTAATTTTTCGAGACTGGTATTTAGAAATTTGTATGAATCGATGAATCGTAGCTGTATGCAATTTCGTGAATCAGATTTTTTTGCTGTATCTTGGACATGCTTCGTAAACGATATATATATTTCTTTTGTTGTCGGTAGCACATTGATCGAGCCTTCAAATGCATCTGCTATTTCCGTGATAATAAAATGTGAATCGTAGCCGGATAAATTATGGAAAACTATTGGAATGTAATATGAATGTTTATAATTTAGATTGCACTTTGAATTCGCGGGACCTCTGTACCATCCGGTGAGATGGCAATGATCGCTTACACGTGTATCCTCTTTCCCAATCTCTTTCTCGCACACGAGACAGTGCGTTGCGGTATTAAATGTTTCCAACTGTTCGCTTGATAAAGTTTCCATGGGGACATTTGTTGCTAAGACTAATTTTACGCGGCGCGCTAACTCTTCGAGTTGCTCGACGAACCACGAGACGCAATCACTATCGCGACGGCTTCGAAAATACAATAACGATTTATCATATAAGCAGTGTAAATAATATGCTATGCTAAATACCCGATGGTGCTGATACGCGTGCGATTTGTGATCCTCGCTCGTAGTCTTCTGTAAGATGCAATCCAGATCGGCGTACACGACAAACGGTAGACGCTCTTTCCTGTTGTTGTTGTCAAAACTGAGCCATTTGTCGTCCTTGCTAGGCAGCAGGATGGCGCAGTCATTCATTTCTCCACAATCTATACTATGGACCTGCAACCTTTCGCTCGAACTAAAATAGTGCAAGCATCTATAAAAAAAAAAACATTTAAATTAATATTCATTTCAAAAGATATTTATAATATTTTTACAAATTTTATACGTAGCGGCTGCAGATATACTTCTTATGATTATGTTTGCTTAGTTGCGAGCGCACAAGTCGGGACAAGTTTTTTATCCATACAAAGTGTCCAACGTTGTCATCTCGCGGATCTGGCAAGTACAGCAATTGACGTATCTGTCCATCGTGCGGTCAGTGAGGCGTATTGGAAGGATCACGTGTGTCGTTTTTCCTTTTTCTGTTTTCTTCTTTTTAGCACTGTATACGTTGATTGATATATTGTTTTGTCGTTCGAAGTTTGTTATTTTATTTACAGACATTGGAAACTCAATGTTCTGTAAATTGAGCACTGTTGTATAGTGTGGGTACATGGATGCACGATTTGCGTTTTTATCGGCTGGATACAGAGCCGCAACCACTGCCCACGCGAAACACGCATTGTCATCAAATTTANCTGTATCTCGCGCGGTAACTCAATGTGGCATCCCGCACGCATCGGATTGTACTTGTTAACATTGACTGTTAGGTTGAGTATTCGCGATAATGCCCATCCGCTATCACGTTCTTGAAATTCTTCTAAAAATGCTAAAGTGGGCTCGATAACACGTCGCTCATACCACTCTTCGAGATCGGATGCGTGGAATAGTTCAGAGTTTTTCGTGGTGATACTTTTATTCGCGCGTTTATCGCTCGTGACAAACTCACCGTTAAATGCAGTGTTCACTTTCAAACTTGCGTGTCTCTCC